ATAACGATGTGTCAAGGGGCAACACATTTAAAGGAAAAAAAAAAAAAAAAAAAAAAAGGTTGCAGCTCACTGAAGAAGTTATTAAAATAGAGAACTATTTCGAACTTTGGTAGCATAAAGCTGTAAATGTTATATTAGCAAATATGGCTTATCAAAGTACCAGTGTTCATGAGATCATGACATTTTCTAGAGTTGATGCCCTGAGGATGTCAGTGGCTTCATTTCTAAACTAGTGAATTCAGATTTTTGAAGAGAACGTTGGATTGGAAATGGAGAGATTTGGGTTCTAGTTTCAGTTTTGCCACAGACTTCCTCTGTGATTTTGCACAAACCCTACTATAAGTTTTAGTTTTTCAACTGACAAAATGATAGATTTTCTTAAAAAAAGCTCTTAATGTATACCCAGAATTTTCTATGCGTTATTTGTATGTGAGCACCTTTAGTTTTCACAGCCACTTGGGAGGCAGGAATGAAGTAATGTTTTACAAGTTTGGTGCCCACCAGGTCACACAGCTGGTTATTTGCAGAACTCTGCTTTAATTGCAGGTGTCTCTGGCTCCAGCCCCATGCTTTTTCCATTCCAGTGCAGTGTATAATTGCTAATGATCATGTCTCTTAACCTTAGAAGATTATTCTCCTCTGTTATTCGCATCAGTATTGTAGGAGAATAAGCTTCTCTCTTACCTCTCACAGAAAGTACTGAAATCCCACCTTATGTGATGAAGTGTCCAAGCAATGGTTTGTGTAGCAGACTTCCTGCAGACTGTATAGACTGCACAACAAATTTCTCCTGTATCTATGGGAAGCCTGTCACTTTTGACTGTACAGTGAAACCATCTGTTACCTGTGTTGTAAGTACTATGGCTTACTTATTCTAAATACATTCACTGTAAACTTCAAGTTAGAAGAGCAGTTCAGATGTGACTATTGAGAATAAATTCTGAATAATTTTTATATTCTTTTATGTTTGCCCTGTTAAGTAGAAATAAATGTAAAAAAACCCAATAGACCTTTTCGTGTCAGCTCACTGCTGTTTTAGTTATAATGATAACTGTCAAGCCGGTTGATGTCTGCTGGAAATGCGCTTGACAGAAATGTTGCTTTGTAGGACTGGAGAAGATCTTAGTCTACTAGCATATCTAAAGCAAGTCTGATTTGTTCAGATGGGTTTTGTGTTCTTAGTAGTGACAGCTAGTGTACAGAGCGGGTGGCAGTGTCTTTCTGCCATAGATGAGCCTTTGAAGGCCCAGTGTTTGTCTGTGAGAAGATGGATTCAGTAAATGCCAGAATGCCTGGGGAGCTCTCTGGAACAAAATTAAGTGGAACCCCTGTCTTGTCCAGAATGAATTCCAGATAGTCCAAAGATGTAATCCGGAAGTACCAGAGAGAACATGAGATAGTTGTTCTCAAAATGGGGAATATTTTTCTCAGTATGAAATAAAGCTTAGAAGCCATAAAAGAAAGAATTGATACATTTGACTACTAAAAATCAGAGATTTCTGCATGATCTTAAAAAAAAAAAAAGCATAAAGGCAAAAGACATGGCAAACTAGGAAAAAGTGTTTCTAACATGTGACAATTGATACACTAATGTCAGTAATATATAAACACTTCCTAAAAACCCACATGGAAAAGATGACAGTCTTATAGAAAAACCGTGTTAGGACATGAGCAGATGGTTCATAGGAAAGGAAATACAAACAGACTTATTTGTATTATTACATGAAAAACATGGATAAGTTTTTCATAATTAAAAACAAACTAATACATTTTTAACCCTCAGATGGGCAAAAAAATTTTTTTTAATTTGACTTTTTAAATTTAACTTAACTCTGAGTTTGTGAGAGTATAAGGGTCAGATACTCATATCTTATTAATGGGTAGTCAAATTGGTCAACCTCTTAAAGGCGATTTGTCATATCTGTTAAATTTACAATTGCACATAATCATCGACTTAGCAGTTCTACCTCTAGAAATTTGTGTTATATATATTATTATACATGGATGCAAATAAGTGTGCTTATTTTTTAGCTGTATTGCTCATTAAAGCAAAAGATTAGAAAGAAGTGAAATGTCCAAGAGAGAACTTCTTAATTTATGGTACACGTGTAATAGAATAAACCCATTGTGGCCATTAAAAAGAAGTAGGAAGCTCAGAGATAATGAACTGACATGTGTACAAAATTAAGTGGAAGCATTGGAGAAGGTTAAATATAGATGACATAAATGTGCCTGTGTGTAGAATAGGCTCTCCCTGGAAGTGCAGAGGGTACTTGGCGGGGGGAGGGCAGTGGTTCCAGAGGCCGGGCCAGACAAGACCGACTCACTGCCCACTCTCCTGCTGTGTCTTGAAATGTGTACCTTGTACATGTGTTGTTTTTTTTTTTTTTTTTTTTTTTTTTTATCTTAGTTGCCTTTTTTTTTTTTTGTTTTTTTTTTTTTTTTTTTTTTTTTTTTTTTTTTTTTTTTTTTTTTTTGAGGTGGAGTTTCGCTCTTATTACCCAGGTTGGAGTGCAGTGGTGAGATCGTGGCTCACCGCAGCCTCCGCCTCCTGGCTTCAAGCTATTCTCCTGCCTCAGCCTCCCGAGTAACTGGGACTACAGGCAGGCGCCACTATGCCCAGCTAATTTTTGTATTATTAGTAGAGATGGGGTTTCACCATGTTGACCAGGATGGTCTTGATCTCTTGACCTCGTGATCCACCCGTCTTGGCCTTCCAAAGTGCTGGGATTATAGGCGTGAGTGTAACCTACTTTTTAAAAAACGATTAAAAAAACTTGTGTTTTCATTTTATTACATAACTACAACAGTAAATCACCTACCTCCTTCTCCAACATCAAGCCTTCTGCTCTGAGGTTCTTTTCAAATGCGTTTTTTTTTTTTGTGGTATTGTGTATTCGTCTTTCTATAAATCAAGATATAATCAGTTTTGCCATCTTTGAACAGAGGTCCAGTGGATGCTGTGTAATTCGTGTCATTCTGCAAATAAAGTAATGATTGTTAATGGTGTGGATTAGACAAACACATATGTTTTGGTTATAGTTACTTCCATTTGAACACTAGCATTCCGGTATTGAAAAATGCACTTTTAATATTCCTACTGTGAAATATGGAAATACGGTTAAAGAAAGTTTCCAATCTACTGTTGGAGCCACATTAGCAGGTGGTGTTCCAGGATATAAAATTAGGTGGTCTGATAGCTGAATATGGGTTCTCTGCTGGTGGCATAAAAATGCATATGTTTTATTCAATCAGACCTGTGAAAATAATATCATATAACAAATAATAAAATGATTACTTATTAAAAAAAAAACTTGTATTTTAAGCACATCACTGAAAACAGGCAGCTGTAAACATGGTTTCTAACAGGTCAAACTGCTTGCCTGAATCAGGCGATGCCTTATCCACATTGGAATGCTTTCCATGAAAAGTGGTTTTGCATTCATAAGAAAATTAACATTACTTGCTTCACCAGCACATATACCAAAATTGGAACAAATTAGAGAAAATGAGAATGGCTCTTGTGCAGAAATGACAAGCACATTTGTGAAATGTTAAAAAAAAAAAAAAAAAAAACAAATATGAGCCGGACGTGGCGGCTCACACGTGTTAATCCCAGCACTTTGGGAGGCCGAGGCCAGCGGATCATCTGAGACCAGGAGGTTGAGACCAGCCTGGCCAATATGGTGAAACCCCGTCTCTACTAAAAATACAAAAATTAGCTGGGCATGGTGTTGTGCCTCTGTAATCCCAGCTCCTCGGGAGGCTGAGCCAGGAGAATTGCTTGAACCTGGCAGGTGGAGGTTGCAGTGAGCTGAGATTGCACCACTGCACTCCAGCCTGGACAACAGAGTGAGACTCCATCTCAAAAAAAAGACAAAAAGAATAGTGTGTTTGTGTGTGTGTGTGTGTGTGTGTGTGTGTGTATATGTATACATACACACATATATATAAGATATATATATATGATGCTTCATAAAAATGATTTGAAAAATATACATTACAATGTAATGTCAGGTGGAGTGAAAAGACTACAGCGTGCTTTCAGTGTAATTCCATTTTAGCAAATTTATAAATATACACGTAAAAGAAACGGAAAGAAGATTAAAAGTAGTTAGCTCTGAACACCTGTAGGTTTTTGTCTGTAATCTTCAAATGTGTAACATAGAAAGAACATGTACTTTTATAAGCAGAAAACAAAATAATGGCTTTTGAAATTGAAATGAAAAACTATCTCTGGCCACCAGGGAACACTCACTGAGCTTCTGAGTTGGGCTGCCTCTGGATAAAGCATGCCACATGCTCTGGAGGTAGGAGCAGCTGTAACAACCCAGAGTTGCCGGGCTGTGCAAGGTAGGAGATGTTAGGGAAGGCTGGCAACTCAGAAGCAAAGCGGTGGGTTAACCACTACAGAAGCGTCAGGCTGGGGTTGAGAGACCTGGATTCCACTCCTCCCTTGAAGCTTGAAGCTCAGTGACCTTCAACAAATGCGTTCATCAGTTCCTTCTAGCCATTCGCGATTGACTTTCTAAAATACATTTTCCTCTTTGCTGTGTTACAGAAGTACATGTTTACTGTGAAAAACTTAGCTAAGCCAAAGTGATGAAATAATTCTATCACCCTGAAATAACTTTTGCTATTTTGATGTGAATTTATCTACTTTTTTTCCCCTTAGGTACATTTATTTGGGTGTGTATTTTTATGATTATGGGGTCATACCATATACATTTATTTTGCATACATACTGTTTTGGTAACTGTTTTTCTGACACTTACTCCTAGGTCCTAAATACAAGCGTTTTAGGAATTTTGTGCCATGTGACTGACATCTTAACAGACTACTCCATTGCAATTGATGAGTTTTGTGTCGTTTGCTACATAGGATCAAGACTTCAAATCTCAGAAGAACTTCATCATTAACATGACTTGCAGATTTTGCTGGCAGCTTCCTGAAACAGATTACGAGTGTTCCAATTCCACCAGCTGCATGACGGTGTCCTGTCCCCGGCAGCGCTATACTGCCAACTGCACCGTGCGGGACCACGTCCACTGCCTGGGTAAGTCAGAGTTCAGGGACGTTTGTCAGCAAAATGTTTTTCTCTATGTTTATTGAAGGGACTTTAACCAGAAATTTGAGAGTCAAATTACTTAATTAGAAACAGGTATCAGCAGCTTTTTAGATGTGCCAACCCTCATTAATAAACTCAACATACTAAAATAAAGCACCCAGAAAATTGCATTTGTTATCTTTTTAAATGTAATATTTCATAAAATAAGAAAACTAGGGGAAGTATAAAGCATAATACACTAGTTGACTTTTACCCAAAATAACAGTGAAACAGCACCAGTACCATTGCAGCCACGTGAGTGCTTGCCTTCGCCTGGTCGCTCTACCTCCTCTTCCAAGGTAACCACCCTTTTGAATTGTTTCTTATCACTTCACTTCCTTTTAAAAATTTTCTGTAGCTTTATTGTATGTATGTAATAAAATACAGTACCATATATTTGATAATGCCTGTTTTAGGGCTGTATAAGATGACATCAGGCTGGTGGTCTTCTGGGACTTTCTAATTTCCTCTCAACATTATGGCTCTACAATTCATCCATGTGACTTCTCTTATTTCTTTTTTTTTTACTTCTGTGTAGTAATCTCTTGTAAGCTTATATCACAGTTTTATCTACTCTCCAATATGTTCTGATTATGTGCCATTTTTTGCTCTTGTGACTCTGTTAAAATTTCTTTGCCCCTCTCCTGATTGCACATGTGCAAGAGCTTCTTTAGCGGGTACTTTCCGGGTGTGTTACTCTTTAAATGGCTATATTAGCTTACATTCCCAATAGCACTACGTAACTATTCTTGCTGATCCATATTTAAAGTCTTAAAGTTGTCTAGACTTCTTTTATATTTTGGGTATTATCTGTACTGTCCCTGAAACGCTCTCCCAGATTTTGACTTTGTTGTTTTTTTAACATTATGGTATATTTTCATGAACAGAACTTTAAAAACATAATTAGTTTAAGTTATTAGAGTTAGTCCTATTTTGTTGTGGTTTTAAGAAATCTTTTTCTACCCCAGGTTTATAAAGACAATTTGCTATGTTGTCTTTTGAAAGTTGTAAGTTTAGCCTTTCACATTTTGGTTTAGTTAGAAACCACCTGGAATTGCTCTTGGTAGATGGTGTGAGGTGGATACAGCTTTAATGGCTCCCCCCACGTGGATGGCCACTTGTCTCAACTCTTCCCTGCTGACCGTGTGTAGCCTCTGTCATACTTGAAGTGATTGTATGTTTCTAGTTCTAGACTTTCTCATCTTTTCCTACTGGATAATTTCTATGCCTTGGGACCACACTGTCTCATATACTTGTAACTTCCCCTAAGTCTTGATATCTCATTGAGCATTTCATGTTAAGTTGTAATTCTAACTTAGCTGATTTCAGTATTACATGTATACTTGGAGATGGTAAGGGTTTTGCACTATTCACTTAAACATATATTATTGTAAAGAGAGTTTACTTTTCAAATTTTAAATGTTGAGGCCATTTGTTACAATTAAGTCTGAGAGTATTTTTATACCATGTATTTTTCTTTTCTTTTTTTTTTTTTAAGGTAACCGTACTTTTCCCAAAATGCTGTATTGCAATTGGACTGGAGGCTATAAGTGGTCTACTGCTCTGGCTCTGAGGTGAGCTTTGTTACCAGTAAGTTTAAACGGCCGTTTGGATTTCTTTGGGATTAGTGGAATCTTCTAGACATTGAGCTCAGGCCACATCATTCTTCACTCAGATCCTACCTTGTGATGAGCCCAGACTCCTGGAGTCTCCTGGCAGGCATGTTAGCTTTTCTCCCGAGGTGCCTGCACATTGGCTTTCCCATTCTGAATGTACCACGAATCAGTAAAATGCTGTGGACTATCTAAAATAGGTAGTTTTATGATGTATATCTTTACTTTAACTTATTATAAAAAAGTAATACATGCTGAATACTGAAAACTGGAAAAATGAAAATGACAAAAATATTTAAAATTGCCTATAATTTCACCACCTGGAGAGAATTATAGGCTTATATTTCTAACATAGAAACGTGCTGTTTGTTAAACTTTTCAACAGCACTTTAAGAAATTGTAGTAATTCTTCCCACCAAAGGGAAGGGCAGGTAGGACCCTGGTTAACGGATTAGCTAGTGAAAAGGTTATGTTGCCTACAGCTGAAGTTTTGAGTTGGTGTCTGAGACCCTGAGGCCTGCAGCATTACAGACACAGGGCGGGATTTCGCAGCCTCATCACTGCTGACATTTTGGGCTGGGTGATCTTCCGTCTTGGGGCCGTCCTGTGCATAGCGGGATGTTTCGCAGCCTCACTGGCCTCGACCTACTACTTGTTGCGACAGTCAGTATGTCTTCAGATGTTGCCAGGTGTCCCCTAGGGCACAAAATTTGCCCTTGCTGAGAACCACTGCATTAGAATTTGGGCTGGGGAAAAAAGGATCTTGCCGGCAGGAAAGGTGTAACTGGAAAGCAAAAGAGGAGGCCAGGAGAGGGAAATGAGACTAACAAAAATAAGATAGGCCCCGCGCGATGGCTCACACCTGTAATCCCAGCACTTTGGGAGGCCGAGGTAGGCGGATTGCTTGAGGTCAGGGGTTCGAGACCAGCCTGGCCAACATGTTGAAACCCCCGTCTGTACCAGAAAATACAAAAGCCAGCCATTATGGTGCGTGTCTGATCACTTGAGCCCAGGAGGAGGAGGCTGCAGTGAGCTGGCACTGCACCACTGCACGCTATCCTCAGAGACAGAGAGATTCTATCTCAAAAAAAAAAAAAAAGATTGGTAACCATTGCTGACAATGGTTCAAGTTAAAGGTAACAACTGGCTTTTTTTTTAAAAAAAAATAATAAACTTTTGAAACTTGGAATAATTTTAATTTACAGAAAAGTTGAAAAGATAATGGAGTTCCTGTATACTCCTAACCTGGGTTTCCCTATGTTGTTAACCTACAGCTAAAATTTGTAGGTTAATTTTAGCTAAAAATTGTATGTTTACTTCTGACATTTAAACAGTCTTCCTGCCTGTAATTATTTGCTGGTGTCAATTTGTGAAATAGTCGCTTGTGTTCCAATTAAGTCGCTGTGATCATTGGAAGCCCTCTCTCAAATCTGACGTAACACGGTGATGGACCCTAACTGGCCGCAGTTGGGGTGGAGGTGGTCTCATGGAATCCTGTCTGTTTGCCATCACAGCATCACCCTTGGTGGATTTGGAGCAGACCGTTTCTACCTGGGCCAGTGGCGAGAAGGCCTCGGCAAGCTCTTCAGCTTCGGGGGCCTGGGAATTTGGACGCTGATAGACGTCCTGCTAATTGGAGTTGGCTACGTTGGACCAGCAGATGGCTCTTTGTACATTTAGGTGTGGTATGTGCTTCAGCAAGGAGCAGTGCTTAGAAAAAGCCCTTTGTCTGTAGGAATTGATGTGGTGTGAGTGATACATTTCTGTTTTTATGTACAGCATCTGTACTTTGTTTGCCTTGATAAAGGTAAAATAAAGAAATGAAACACGGAACTATGCTAATCTGGAATTTGTTTTTGTTTGCCTGAAATATTTTTTTTTCTGTGAAAAAATTGAAACTTACTTAAGCCAGGAGAATTACTTCTATAGTGGTTGGAAATTGATTTAATCCCATGACTTTAGTTTTGTATTGCTCAAGTCAAACTATATCACCTGTATCTCCAGCCCAAATGTAATCTGCCTTGAAAACCTTTCAGCTGTGATTGCAGGAAGTGGGATGTGTTTTTATTGTCAGCTAACTGAAGTTATTTGGCTCAACTCCAGTCATCTGTAAGTTTTTCAGCGTAATAGGTGTGTAGTCTGGTCTGTATATATGAAAATTTGAATTGAATGTTTATGTCTAGTTATGGTTTAAATTTTCCTAGTAGTATATAAAAGATAAAGAATGCTGAAAAATGAATAAAATTGCAAGTTAAGAAATATTGTGGGCCTGTTTTCTATATTAAATATAATCTTGAATAATCACTGCAACTTAACCATTATTGTTAAGAATAACGTTTTGATTTTTCAGGCCATTACTCCATTCTAAGAGTCATAATTGGCTGGTTTATTGACACAGTGGAAATATATAAATGTTTTTGAGTATAGATCTGTTATAGACCCTTTACTGGGGAAAAAAACCCCAGTTATTAATTTAAAAAGATTTTTACTCAAGGTTGCTTTTGAAACGTTTAAAAAATTTTAGCATTTTTTCTTTTAAATGTGAGTATCTGAGTTACTGCTTTTTAAACACTTGTACGTATTAGCCAGAAGACTGTTAACCATAGCACATAGCATCTCTAAAATATCTTTTGGTAATATCTTCATATTTTATTCGTCAGATGATTTGTTAATTTCAGTTTACCTGAAAGGTGAATTAAATCATTTCAGTGATCACTTGTTCTTTTGAAGTGCAGCCTTTTCATAGTTTAGTGACAGTTCCATCTCTGGTCACTAGGAGGCGCATCCCCATTACATTTGCTTCCCCATTCTGTTTCCAGAAACAGCCAATCTTAAATTGTTTTTTTACGAGGAACTTGTCACAGAGCATGAGCAGTGCTTCAGGATGGGAGTGACCTGGTTTATGTGGACCTTTCTTTCTGAGAGCAAATACACACATTTTTGTATCCATGAGACTGTTGATGGAGCAGGTGTTTCTTCAGAAGAAGGTCTGTTCTGCAAGAAGCTGCCCCTTTGCCAACCATAATAATAATGTCTCCAGAGTCTCCTTATGTAGCTCTATGTAGAAGAGAATCTAATACTTACCTGTTGAGCAACCATGCAAGGTGGAGCTCGGGAGCCACTGGGAAGTTAGTAGGAAGTGTTCGTGGCCATTGGTGGAAATAGATAACAGCGTCCTTCCTCAACCATCTTTGCAACTCTGAGGGCCTGAGTTAGATAATGCAGCTGCAGTGTTTGAAAGGTGAAAGCTCAAAGATTCAGCATCCATGAAAGGAGACATGAATGAACTTGTTCCTATATCCTAAAAAAGTTTGCACGAGGGCATAGTCCTTGGAACCTAAAGGATGTAAGCCAGTCAGGAATGCTTCATATCAAGGAATTGATAGAGCTGATGGCCTGGGACAGAACTGGTAGGAAATGTGAAGGGATTTTCAAATATAGTACAAACAGATTTATGAACATGAACTCACACATCCCCTAAAAGTAACTGCAGAATAAAACTATGCTTTCAAAGGGCACCAGCGAGTGGGTGCAATCTCTTGTGGCAAATCCCATGGGCCTCTGCTGGCAGCAAAATGCCATGTTGGAGTCTGACCTTCAGGTTCTAGTCCTCTGTTGTCTTAGATTACTGGGGCTGCTATCACAATACCATAAACTGGGTGGCTTACCACCAGGAATTTATTTCGTAGAGTTGTGGAGGCTGGAAAGTCCAAGATGAAGGTGCTGGTTTGGTGTCTGGTGAAGGCACTCCTCCTCATAGCATCTTGCATCCTCACATGGTAGAGGCAAGGACGATCTCTCTAGGGCCTCATAAGGGCACTAATCTGAATCTTGAGAGCGCCACCCTCATGACCTAATCACCTCTCAAAGGTCCCACCTCCTCTTACCATCACCATGGTGGTGAGGATTTCCACATGTGAATTTGGGGTGGAAAGGACACAAATAGCCCATCATATGTGAGCTGTGGGCTCTGGCCGAGGGATATGATTAGATAGACATTCTGTTCACACAAGTTGGGAACCGTATCAGGCAACCGTCCTCTACTGATGGTTCTCTAGATACTCAGAATTGATCACCGCAGCATGCCATCTGTCATGACTTCCCCTTAAGAATCCACCTTGCTCTGTCAGCACTCTTCCATTTACCCGCGTAGTGCCTCCTGGGAAGGTGCTGGGTTATCTCTATCACCTTTTTTGTCCCTGGAACAGTGCCTTGCACACAGAGGCTTTCATTTATTTGCTGAGTTAATGCCACAGGTGTCTTGAAGGTTTTGAAAGGCCTGTGTACAATTCCGGGGATTGGCAGTGGAGGTGGCTGCAGGGAGATAATAGAAATTGGCTTCAAGTAAATATTTGTAACACCATGTTGATCTGATTTCTGCAAATTGCTGAGGAACAACTCTGCTTTATGGTGCTTTGAAAAAGATTTTTTCAAAGATCTTATGCTTCAAGATTTTAAAATGTAAAAATATCTTCTCTATGCCACACAAGTTTGTTTCTCTGTACTTTTTTTTTTTTTTTTTTTAATGCCTTATGCCAGACTTGCATTTATTTTGGTCACATCATCAGCTAAGGAATATGCAAATGATTTTAATTCATCTGTAAGCAATGAGTGGAAAATGAGCTGTACCTGATGCAGCTTCTCAAATACAACATTGAAAAAGCCTAAAAATGAAGGCACTACATAAGCAGAATATGCATAAAAAGGGAAAAAAAAAACCAGGAAAAACGAAGGCAGATTCCTCCACTCCCGCTCTAAAGCATCCCCTCTGTTCTGTACTTTAATAGACTTTGAAGTGTCACATGAATATTAGAGGGCATATATATATATTTTTAACTTTTATTGTATTTACATTGTATGCCTTTTTTTCATGGTAAGAACACAAAATCTGCTCTTAGCAAATATGTAATGTGATAACTATAGTCCTTATGCTATACATGAGACCAGCTGGTTAACTTTGTAACCTAGGCAAATTTGATCAAAATTCTTAGATGTAAAGGATTGAAATTGTCTTCCATAAACGCAACATCTTTTTTTTTTTTTTTTTTTTTTGGAGACAGACTTTTGCTCTTGTTGCCCAGGACGGAGTGCAATGGCATGATCTTGGCTTACTGCAACCTCCGACTCCTCAGTTCAAGTGATTCTCCTGCCTCAGCCTCCCTAGTAGCTGGGATTACAGGCTTGCACCACCATGTGCAGCTAATTTTGTATTTTCAGTAGAGACCACGTTTCTCCATGTTGGTCGGGCTGATATCAAACTCCCAACCTCAGGTGATCCCCCTGCCTCGGCCTCCTGAAGTGCTCATATTACAGGTGTGAGCCACCAAGTCTGGCCAACACAACATTTTTATGCAAAATAAGGAAGCTTTGATGGAGACACTCTGACATAATTTACTGAGGCTCCACAAAAGCAGGGCTCTGGTTCTCTGCTGTAGCTCAGGTTTGAGAGCCCTGCCTGCCATACAGCAGGTGCACTGTGACTAGGAGTTTGATGCATGAGTAAGGAGGAATTGCTTGGAGTGAGCTAACCACCTAAAAGTATTGCTAAGAATTTTTAAAGTGGTAGAGTGCAGCTGGATTACAGTGTCTCCCTTCTCAAATAGTTAAAATGATAAATGCAGTACAGTAAAAGCCAGCACCTCCTTCCTGCTCCCAACCAGCAAACGAACGAAAACTCCACAGCAAACAAGCAAAAGGATACAGCCAAATGCCAAAAATGTCAAAAAATGGTGAGTACGGGGAGAAAAAAGTATTGCTCAGGTGTGTAAGATTAATCCCCCAAATGGCCCTGGTGGCGCAGCAAAACTCAGGAAGTCTCACTGGTGGCCAGGCGCGGTGGCCCACACCTGCAATCCCAGCACTTTGGGTGGCCACGGCGGGCAGATCACCTGAGGTCAGGGGTTTTGAGACCAGTCTGGCCAACATGGCAAAACCCCGTCTCTACTAAAAATTACAAAAAAATTAGCCGGGCATGGTGGCACACACCTGTAATCTCAGGTACTTGGGAGTTTGAGGCAGGAGAATTGCTTGAACCTGGGAGGCGGAGGCTGCAGTGAGCCAAGATCACCATTGCACTCCAGCCTGGGCAACAAGCAAAACTCCGTCTCAAAAAATAAAGGGGTCTCACTGGTGAGAAAAACAGGTTAATAGGGAGAAGAGAGGTACCTGCATCTTCCTCCTGTTACTGCTGGGGGAAGTGAAAAGGCTGCTGGGAAGAGACCAGTGAGTGAGGGCTCAGGAACAACCGGGAGGGACTCTGGTGGGTTTAGGGGTTCCCTGCTGAACCGGACAAGGATCCAAAGTGTGAGGTGACCCCCACAGGTCATTGCATCACTCCCCGGGAAGGAAACTTTCGTTCAGGACATCTAGAAAAATCTTAGCCGAGAATCCAGAGACCAGATATTCTAGCAAAGATAACGAACGTCTCAGAGCTCTTTCCTGCCTCACCCCTAGCTATCAGGCCATGGAATGTTGACTAGAACACAAAATACAACTTTCAAAATGCTCAAAGAGAAAACCAAGGGAATTTGTTCACATATAATCATGAAGTTGTCCTTTTACACAAGAACAAAACAAAATGACTCACCATCCACTGGAATGACTAGAATAAAAGGCATTTTTAACCAGCCTGCCAGCCTGGGCAACAGAGCCAGACCCTGTCTCTTAAAAAAAAAAAAAAAAAATAGCCAGGTGTGTGCCTATAATCCCAGCTACTTGGGAGGCTGAGGTGGGCGCAATCTGAGCCCAGCAGGTGCAGTTACAGTGAGCTACTGAGGACTAAACTATGACCTTTTTTCTCTTTTGGCCAAATCCCTATCTAAGGGGTGGGAGGTGCACCCTACAAACCATAAAATCATGGAGCAATTTTTGTTGTTGTTGTTGTTGTTGTTGTTGTTGAGACGGGGTCTCACTCTGTCACCCAAGCTGGAGTGCAGTGGCGCAATCTTGGCTCACTGTAACCTCCGCCTCCCAGGTTCAAGTGATTCTCCTGCCTCAGCCTCCCTAGTAGCTGGTACTACAGGTGCCTGCCACCATGCCCGGCTGATTTTTGTATTTTTAGTGGAGATGGGGTTTCACCATATTGGCCAGGCAGGTCTTGAACTCCTGACGTTGTGATCTGCCTGCCTCAGCCTCCCCAAAGTGCTGGGATTACAGGTATAAGCCATCTCGCCCAGCCCAGAGCAGTTTTATTTAACCCTATATGATGTGCCTTACTTTTCAATCTGACTGTGACATCACATCACATGACAGATAAGGCAAT